ACCCGCGTCTCCTGCATCGGCAGGCGGACTCTCAAGCACTGCGCCACCAGGGAAGCCCAATGCAGGAGATTTTAATCAGGAGGCTGAACAGTTCTAAACTCAAAATGCAATGTCTTGTCATGGCTGTGTGGTGTCCTGGCCCGCGTGCTCTGGGCCATTAGCTGGGACCAGATCCAGAGACCACAGTCTGCGTGTGACGGTCACAGCACTGCCTGTGCTGAGGGTGCTTTATGTGCACTTTGCAAAGTACTTCTGTACACGGTTGCACGTGGGCCTCCTGACAGTCCTGAGTGACAGCGGGGACCCCTTCCAGCCCCACCAGAGGCGCCTGGAGCAGGGTCCGGGGGTGACACTGCGGGGGTGTGATGTGACTCATCTTCCTCCTTTTTGCCTCGGCTGGAGTTTCGGTTTTGCTCCCTGCACTGTGGTGTATCCCAATCACATGAAAGTAATTTAGGTAAATTAACACTAAATTTGCAGCCACAGAGCATGAAGCAAATCCTACTTCTTTGTTTTGCTTCTACATCTGCTCAAACCTCGTCTCTTCTTTCTGCTGATAGTTGACTTTTCGATTTGCAAGACACTCTTCTCTTTAAAAATTGTGGGGAGGGGCTTTTAGAATTTTTGCCTGAAGTAGAGTTTTACTATTATTTCAAATTATTTTTGCCTGAAACGTTGATTAAAAGTCAAAACTTCTGTTTCAATCATTACGCTTTGGTCTTTGTCTGATGTAGGAGTGCTTTGTGTTTATCAGAAGTGTTTACAAATGAATTAAATATTTGATTATTTTTTCTGATGAAGACAAGGAAAAAAAACATTTTAAAAACCTGCTTTCTTCTTCAGTGACAGAAAATCTGGTTCTCTTGCACTAATATGTGAACTTATGGACATGAATATTTATGAACTAATACGAGGTACGTGGAATAATTTCAAAGCTAATCTAAGGTCTTTTAGAGCTTGTAGTTCCCATATATTTGTTTTAGTTCTCAAAATCATTTGTGCAGTAGTTTCATCTAAGTATACGGTACTGGGCTGTAAACGTACAGTGCTCATGGGAGGTGTTTTTCTGGCAGTCTTGTCTGCTCAGAACTCAGCTGCAAACGAGCAAAGCCATGAGGCGTTCAGGCCGGCTGGGTGATGTGGTGAGGAGGGCGCAGAGGGCGGCGGCAGCTCAGCCCTTCCTCAAGCCTGTCCCCTTCTAGCATCTTTCCTGGCTCTGCTGCTGCTCGACATTCTACTCTATGCTTCAGAATGAGGCAGGGCTCCCTGCTCAGATAATCCCTCTGAGAGGGAACCTCCTTCTGTTTGCATTCTTATGAAGTTCCCTGTATTACAGAGTGCTCATTTATTTCCTTTCTCTCTTTTTTTTTTTTTTAAATAAATTTATTTTATTTATTTATTTTTGGCTGCGTTGGGTCTTCATTGCTGCGTGCGGGCTTTCTCTAGTTGAGGCGAGCGGGGGCTGCTCTTCGCTGCAGTGGGCGGGCTTCTCATGGCGGTGGCTTCTCTTATTGCGGAGCATGAGCTCTAGGCGTGCGGGCTTCAGTAGTTGCAATGTGCAGGCTCAGTAGTTGTGGTTCATGGGCTTAGTTGCTCCGCGGCACGTGAGATCTTCCCGGACCAGGGCTCGAACCCGTGTCCCCTGCACTGGCAGGTGGATTCTTAACCGCTGTGCCACCAGGGAAGCCCATCCTGTTACTTTTAATGCTGGTGCTTCTGGGAAGGGCCGTTCCAGTTTGGCTGTGTTGACGCAGCTTGGATGTCCCACATCAACACACTGGGTAGAGCATGCCCAGTGCCGTGTGCATTTCATGATGGTCGGTCCTGGCTAGGCTCTTTGAGACTTAGTCCTTGTCTATCAAATGGGGATAATCATAGTGTCTGACTCTTAGGGTTGTTGTGAGGTGTTTGGAGCAGTGCTGGCTTGCGTAGCCTTCAATCAGGGTCAGCTGCTGTCATTACCATCATCATCATTATGCCTTTATAGTGTGCTTGCTCTGTGTTCCTGCATTTGCTCTTCCCATTTCTGTGAGCTCAACTCCATTATAGAGGTGAGGCAATTGAACTTCCAAGAACTTAGAGCACTTGCTTGAGACGAGCCAGCTTCAAAGAGCAGAACTGGGAGGACCCCTCTTGGAATTTTGTCTTGTTGAGAGAGGGGTGCTGGTGATGGCTCCAGCTCCATGCTGAGCCTGACACCCCACCTGCTACCCTGTAACTACTCTCAGAACAGTGTGCCATCAGGCAAGGCTCTCCTTTGGAAAACACCGATGGCAAACACGTGCTCACACGGTGCCACAGGGCATAGCCTCTGGGCCCAGGTGTACACTGTGGGCATTTGGCTGTGCCATGGTGGACCCAGAATGCACCCCCAAGCCTGACCAGGAAAGCCAGGTGCAGGCCTGGGTACAGGGCCTTTTGTGAGAAGGCAGTGTGCTGGATATTCTATTACAGTGCTGGCTACACTTGGAGGCCCTCTTCCTTATGTTAGTACTGACAGCCAACGCCATAGTTAATCACTGTGTTCACTTCAGATTTTTTACATTGCTGGTATTGTATATGACATTTTTTAGTACCTTCTTAATGAGAATATTGGGTAAAAATTAACTTGGGAAAATTAATTTGGTCGGGAGAGCCAAAAGAGAGAAATACTGTTTGCAGTCTGCTGGCATTCAGTAAAGGGTCATACCAGGAACTTCAGAGTGGTTTATTGATTGTACTATATGTATTTGTTTCAAGATGTTTGTGAGCAAGCATCTTGTGGGAACCAGATGCAGTCTTGGGCCTGGCGAGTTAGGATCTTGTTTTGGGAAAATAGTGTGAAAGTCAGCGGTCAGTCCCCTCCTTGTCAAGTGTGTGGACTCCGATGGTTCAGACCAGTGGCCCACATGGCTCACGAGGGCACCTCTGTCCGCCTGGAGCCCCCGTGTGCAGGCAGGCGCTCTCACGGAGGACAGGGGAGGGAGTCGTGGCCTTGCCCCACGGCTGTGAATGGGGGGAGCAGGGGAGGCCCAGGAGGAAAGGAAGGGCAGCCATCCAAAGAGTCCTCCGCCACTGAGGACTGAAGGCAGCCGAAAATGCAGATTCCTGGCCACCTGCCTGGATTTGTGATTCACTGGGTCTAGGTTTGGGCCTTGGAATCTACTTTTTAAAAGCTGCCTAGGTGCTTATGAAGATTGGATGGATTAGACTTTTCCTAAAAGAGTCCACCTTTTCTGAGTTCAAGTTCAGATGACTGTAATGGCAGTTGTATGCTATAAGATGTGGACGTTTGGACATGGCTGGGAAGGGTGCTTCTAGGAACAGAGCACCGTGAGTACAGCATGCAGCAGGAGAGCTTTGGGGGCGCGCAGAAACGTCCCCGAGTGAATGTGGCTGGAGCCTTCTATAAACAAGCAGGATGTGATGGGGCGCAGTTCCCAAGGGGAGGGACCAGGCCTGGCGGCCCATTCTGAGAACTTGCTGGAAAGGCAGCTTCTGGGGCCCCGCCACAGACCTACTGAACCAGGAGTGCCGGGGCTGATGATGGGGCATTCTGTATCTTCACAAGCCCCCGGGGACTCGGGTGCTCCTGGGTCCTGAGAGCCCTGTGCTGGGAGGGAGTCTGCCAAGGGGGGTCTGGAGAGCCGGGCTAGTCAGTGGGCAGCGAGACCCCCTGCCCAATGAGGGCCGAGCCTCACGAAGGTTCGTCCAGCCTTGAGTGTGACAGAGAATAAAAATTTTACTTTCTTTTCACCTTTATATAGATAATAATTTGATAAAATTCCTCAAGTGGGGGGAAGCTGACAAAGTCTTAGTTTTAATTCTTTCAATTTAAGTTCTGGAAAACTGATGATAAATTACGTGAAACAGCATAAAAAGATTATAGTATGCCATGGAAAACATTCATTGCACTTAGACGCTTTGTAATTTAAATTACTTTCTATTATTAACATAAAGAGTCTTGTTATGCGAGAAAAAGAATACATTAATTTTTCGACAGAAATTGCAAGCCTTGGATGAAAAATGTCTAGTGGGATATGTGCTCACGGAGGGAGGGGAAAGTGGTTTTCTGAGTTGTTAGGTGAGAGTGGATATTTTGCAGATTTAAAACCTAATGGCTTAAAAACACATACCTCTGATATTAAAATCAAGTAAAATGTGACACCTTTGAGAACAAGGGCAGCTCTGATGCTGGAGTGTAGTGTTAAGAGTTTTGGAGCGTCCTGAAAGCTGCAGGAGGGGAGAAGGTGTAGATTACAGGCTGCTGCAGGGCTGTCAGCCGCGCCCAGTGACTGCTTCCTTCTGTGAGAGAGGAATGTGTGGCTGTGCAAGTGAGAGCAGCCATTGGTCTTCTTGGGTTAAGAAAACGTGATCCATCCCCTTAAAGACGGAGATCTCCATGTAGCCAGGAAGCCGAGGAAAACCCTGGATTTGAGCTCATAATCAGCGTGAAGGAGGTTGCCCTGGAGGCCCACCCGAGGCTGTGTTAGGACCTCCATACCGAGCTGCCCTTGCGGTGATCCGCTCAGCACTGTTCTGACTGCAATCAGAAGGCCTGGCGCTCTGTGATTTTAAATGAAATCGTGCCAGTATGTAGAATTTTTAATGGCATATTTTATAGATAGACTCCATATTTCCTAGAACTACTCCAGGTTATTTTTCACTGAGGAAGTTAGATTTTCACACATTGCTAAATAAAAATGGATTCCATCTTTCGTTTCAAAAAAGGGGATACGGATCATTGGTAACCATATTTGGCTATTTCCTTGATTGCACAGGGAGAAGACACCCATTATCAGAAAAAAAAATTATGCACTATATGTACCAGTTGTGTAAATCCCTTGATCACATGCACAGGTAGGCACTTGGAGACTTGGCAGCTTTCAAATTAATAAAATGTAGTACCATTCATTAAGAATATAGTATAAAAGAATTTGAATGAATGAGGTACAATTAATTCTATCCTTCCTTTTATATTGAATGCAGAAATGGAATATTTCACAGAGATGTAAAACCAGAAAATATATTAATAAAGGTAAGAACTTTTATATGAAAAATTGATATCAGAAGAAAGGTAGAATATAAAAACTTTTCCCTGGATATGTTTTCAATCCCAATGGATACCATGTTTGTTATAACATGTTTGGTTTTTTCCTTCCAGTTTGGGAAAAAATGGTTAATTTAATAAATGCCATCAACATAACTGTACATCTGGAAAAAGGCACCCTTCTTATACTATATACAAAAATAAACTCCATTTAAATTATCATTCTAAGCACTCTAAATATAAAAGTGGAAGAGGCAGGATTTGAGCTCTGATATGTCTCACTTGAAAGCCCTTAAACTATGCCTGTGTACAGTTTGCTCAGTTTGGGCATATGTGTACACCCATGGATCCATCATCCCAGTCAACTTCACAAGCAAATCCAAAACCCCTGAAAGCCTCCTCTTGCCCTTTGGTAATCCTTGCCCCCTGTCCCTTGTCCCCAGGCAAAGATGAGCTAGAACGTTCTACAAATGGAATTACATAGCATATACTCTTTCTTGGTCTGGCTTTCACTCAGCATTGTTATGTCGAGGTTCATCCACGTTGTAGTGTGTGTGCCGCGCCTTTTGAAATCGTCCCACAGTTCTTGGATGTTCGGTTTTGTTTTTGACATTCCTCTATTGCTTTGCATTTCGGTTTGGGAAGTTTCTATTGGCATATCTTCAAGCTCGCTGATTCTTTCCTTGGCTGTGTTGAGTCTATCAAAGTCTTTTAAAATTTTTGTTACAGTGTTTTTTGTTTGTTTGTTTTTAATTTTTTTAATTTTTTGCTGCGTTGGGTCTTTGTTGCTGCATGCCAGCTTTTTCCAGTTGTGGCGAGCGGGGGCTACTCTTCGTTGCGGTGCGCAGGCTTCTCATTGCGGTGGCTTCTCTTGTTGCGGAGCACGGGCTGTAGGCACGTGGGCTCAGCAGTTGTGGCTCACGGGCTTAGTTGCTCCACGGCATCTTCCTGGACCAGGGCTTGAACCCATGTCCCCTGCACTGGCAGGCGGATTCTTAACCGCTGTGCCACCAGGGAAGTCCCTGTGACAGTGTTTTTTATTTCTAGTGTTTCCTTTTGATGTTTTCTTAGGGTTTCCATCTCTCTGCTTACGTTTCCCTTCTGAACTTGCATGCTGTCTTCTTTTTCCATTAGAGCCCTTAACAAATTAATCATAGTTATTATAAATTTCCTGTCTGGGAATTCTAAAATTCTAAAACCTGTGCCATATCTGAGTCTGGTTTTGATGTATGCTTTGTCTCTTCAGACTGTTTTTTCTTGCCTTTTAATATGCCTTGTAATTTTTGTTGAATGTATTGGGGAACGGGAACAGAGGTAAAAGGCTGTCAGGGTAGGTTTCTTGATAATCTGGCTAAGAGAACTGCTGTTTAATGTTTGCTCTAGCTGTAGGTGCCAGAGGCTTCAAATTTATTGACAGCATGAATTTTATTACTTGAATGTGAGAGGTAGAGAAGATGGAAGAAACACCTTGAAACCTGTTTCCCTGGGCTGTCTGACTTCCTTCAAGGATCCCATGTGGTGTAGGCCAGGCCCCCAGCCTCCCCCGAATGGGAACCAAGCTGCCAGAAGCACTGGACGTGGTGGGGAGTTTGAGGCATAACAGGGCATGTGACCAGGGTGTATAGTTCATCTGTAGACTTACACTGCGACTTAAAAATTTCCAAAACCTGTAGACATTTTGAAATGTCTGTTAAACATAGCCAGAATATTCGTAAATGTGTTCCACTGAAGAGAAACACGGCTTCCTCACCTGCTACAGGCTATTTCAGGAGCTTATAGAGCCAGTACTTTATGTTCCACAAGCTAGTTTAGATGCTGGGAATTTTCCCGTTGGTGCATAAATATTTGAAATGGTTTGTATTACAATCGCTGCTTGATGAGATGTTATTTGTCCCTGTTTCTCTCCCCCCTTGCAGCAGGATGTCCTGAAATTAGGGGACTTTGGGTCCTGCCGGAGTATCTATTCTAAGCAGCCGTACACGGAATACATCTCCACCCGCTGGTACCGGGCCCCAGAGTGTCTCCTCACTGATGGCTTCTATACCTACAAGATGGACCTGTGGAGTGCGGGCTGCGTGCTCTATGAGATGGCCAGGTGGTGCCAGAGTTGCAGCTGCTGCTGGGCTAGGGGGGCTGTGTCAGGGTCCTGAGGCCGGTCCACGCGGGGCTCGGCCATCCAGTGGCTTCGTGCCAGTCCCTCCCTCTACGGTGCCGCGTTTACAGTCCTTCTGGTGTCATGGTGGTTTTTTAACTCGACAGGAAATGTGTCAATCACTTTTCCTTGCTTTCTGGGTATGGAGGAAAGAACATTATCAGTTACTTCTTTCCCACTGGCCCGCCCCGGCCCTGGGTCGGTGGGCCTCTCCATTTGGCCTCATCAGCCATAGGATTGATGAAGCCAAATGAAGGAACAGAGTCGAGGCGTGCTTCCTGCCACCTCGTGGGGCCTGCCATGGGGGCGGGGTGCGAGCGGTGCCCCCCAGTCTACCCTCAGAGTGCAGTCGCTTGGGTGGGGTGCTCTGGCCCCGGGAGTGAGGGCGAGCTGGATGGAGTCCAGGAAGCCCCAGCCCTAACCGTCCTCCCCTCCCCCAGCCTTTGGGCTTTACCGCTGGGCGCAGCAGGGCCAGGGCAGAGGCCCGGGAAGGGAGGAGGGCCTGTCCCGTCCACCGGCGGCGGGGGCACTGGGTGGTAGAAGCCCCGGGAGGAGGTGGGGCGGCACCTGCTCGTAGCGGGTCATGCAGGACGGGTGGGCGGACTTAACCTCGGGGTGACGCACGTCAGGATGGTACAGCCCAGCGTAGGCAGGACCCGGGTCATCCAGTCCCGCCTGCTCAACTGACCCCTTGATAAATACAGACGTTTGGGCCCTTCGGGACACACCTTCTGATTCTAGATCATTCCTATTGATAAGTGACTGTTATTTTTGGAAAGGAGAGTGGTGATTTCACTGATACTAAAGTACCAACAAATGATCTTTTCTCCTGTGCTAAAATCCCTGAGTCAGTTTGGAGGGATGTCAGAGGCGCTGGTGCCGGCGGCATCCACTCAGGGCGTTGGGCAGCCCACGCTGAGCCTCGCTGACTGCACTCTGTGCCCGGCCTGCCCCACCTCAGAGCCGTCCAGCTCCTCTGCGTTTTCTATTCTCCCCTGCGGCCTGAGCTCCTGCCGTTTTCCCTGAATAGAAGTCATCTTACCGTCAGAGCTACAGTTTTTTTTTTTTTTTTTTGCGGTACACGGGCCTCTCACCACTGTGGCCTCTCCCGTTGCGGAGCACAGGCTCCGGACGCGCAGGCTCAGCGGCCATGGCTCACGGGCTCAGCCACTCCGCAGCATGTGGGATCTTCCCAGACCGGGGCACGAACCCGCGTCCCCCGCATCGGCAGGCAGACTCTCAACCACTGCGCCACCAGGGAAGCCCAGAGCTACGTTTTTAAACTCTTCTTTGTGGCCTGTAATGTGTATGGGTCTAAAATCTTTTATCCACAATTCCCAAATCCGTGACTGCTCCAAAACCAAAACGCTCCTTGGACCTCATTTGTCTACACAGCCCGACCTGACCCAGCCTGAATTTTTGTCAATTAAACTCCCCGGGCCGTAAGGAGGCTCTGGGGGCTTTCATCTCTTAGCCGGCAGAGGTACCTGCTGTGCAGATACGGGAGTGTGGCCCTGTGCCTTAGAAAGACACCGACCCGTAGGGACAGTAGGAGGAGGAAGGCCCAAGCATGGGCGGGGGGGCTGGAGGTCCCTCTTCTGGGAGGCCGCCACCCTGACCACAGCCCTGGCCGCCCGCCCAGCCTGCAGCCCCTCTTCCCCGGAGCCAACGAACTGGACCAGATCTCGAGGATCCACGACATCATTGGCACACCTACTGGGAAGACCGTCACCAAGTTCAAACAGTAAGTGCAGCCCCCAGGCCGCCCCACCACCGCGGACCCACCCTGCCTCTGTCGCCCCCAGGGGCCTCTTCAAAGTCCCACGAGCCTGGCATGCGGGTTTTGTCCCGGGAATGTTCTCTCAGGCCACAGAGGTCTTTGGGTAGGAAAGGCTCCCCAGCACAGTCTGCACGCACAGACCCTGCGGAGCCGCCACCCGGCAGCTTGGCCACCCTGACCCCTCGGGGGTGACTCGGGGGTGTGGGCAGCACCCAGCAGCTCCCAGAACCCTAGGGAGGTAAGGAGATGACAGCCATGCTGGATTCTTTTTCTTTTTTCTTTTTTTTTTTCCCGGTACGCGGGCCTCTCTCACTGTTGTGGCCTCTCCCGTTGCGGGAGCACAGGCTCTGGACGCACAGGCTCAGCGGCCATGGCTCAGAGGCCCAGCCGCTCCGCGGCATGTGGGATCTTCCCAGACCGGGGCATGAACCCGCGTCCCCTGCATCGGCAGGCGGACTCTCAACCACTGTGCCACCACTTCTTTTTCTTTTTTAAAACTTTGTTTCATTCTTTTCTGGTGGGAATGTGGTATTAGTCTTCTCAAGAAAAAGTTTTCTTACACTTAACAGCGTAACAGATTTCACGACCTCCCACCCTTTTTAAAAAAACAAACTTAATTTTTTTAGAGCGGTTTTAGGTTCACAGAAGAACTGAGCGGAAGGTACAAAGATTTCCCGTCTACCGCCCGGCCCCACACAGTGCACAGCCTCCCGGCCACCAGCACCGGCCCTGGGGTGGCATGTCTGCTATCATCAAACCTGTGCTGACACGTCATTCTCACCCAAAGTCCACGGTTTCCAGGAGGATCTTGTATTCTATGGGCTTTATGCCCCCCTGCTCCCTGCCCTTTTTAGATTGTAAGCTGTTACCTTCAGTGCAGGTCCCTGTAGGGTCGTGATGCTGGACCGGCCACGTGCTCTAAATGACGGCGTGATCGTTTATTATCATTGGGCTTTCAATACAGGTCGAGAGCTATGAGTTTTGATTTTACTTTTAAAAAGGGATCAGGAATACCTCTATTGACAGCCAGTTTGTCCCCGCAATGCCTCTCCCTCCTGCACGCAATGGTGGCCTATGATCCCGATGAGAGAATCACTGCCCACCAGGCCCTGCAGCACCCCTACTTCCAAGAACAGAGGTAGGCGCCCTGCTGGGTTCCCGTGGGGCACGCGGCTGGGTGGCTGGTTCCCGGGAACAGTGCCAGTCCCTCTGGGAACCCGCACCTTGCTCCTTTCTGATATTTTCCCCCAAAAGGAGGCGATTAGTGGCATCACGGCAGGGTGGAAGGAGGGTCTGTGGCTGCTTTGCAGTTGATGCCAAGGCTGTGGTGTTAAGCCCCGGAGGGTCACGTGGCACACAGCGTGGGGGGAGCGGGCTGAGCTCGCTCGCTGTGAGGTTCCAGGGCGCGTGCGTAGGGCGACACCTGCCATTGGAAGTACCTGCCCTGAGGGCTTCGGACTCCACCCCTCTGTCCCCTCGTGCGTGTGTGACGTGGGGGTGACGTCTGACCTGAACCTCGAGTCACTGGGCAGGGGTGGGCCCACGGCTCCGGAGCCCAGAGGCTTCAGGCTGAGACAGGAGAGGAAAAGGAAAGCTCCCCGGAGTAGGCCGACAAGCCCTGAGGTGGCTGGGTTCTCAGCAGAGGCGCCCCTGCCCCTTCCGTCCTGTAGGGCAGCTGAGAAGCAGGCTCCGGCCAGGCCCAGGAGGAAGGCCTCCGCGCTCTGCCCCAAGCGGCCGGTGGCACCGAAACTACTCAACAACAACTGGCAGCCGGCACAGGAAGGCAGCAAGCAGGTACTGAGCGATCAGGCCGTCTGAGCTGGGACTGGACACCCTCAGGGGCCCGTGTCTCTCTGACGCAGATGCCACCTGGGGAGGTGCCACATCTGCCTGGAAACTGTGCCCATCAGCGACCTGCCACCATACCAGGTGGCACCTCTGCGCCCCCGGCCTTTCTGTGCCACCAGCTAAGGTCCACAGTGTTGCAGGCTGGGATCCTCCCAGCCGCAGGGCCAGGCTGGTGCCCAAGCCCTTGTGACCGCAGAGGACCCTAGCTGGGGCACAGGGAAGCCAACACTGGCCCAGGTGACCATCCCCACTCGGCCGCTGAGCCCCTGCGAGAGCAGCAGGCCCCACCCCAGAGGAGCACTGCGCCTGGCACAGAGGTGGCCTCGCACGCTTCTTGGTGTAGAAAGCATAGCTGCATCCCGCGATAGCTTCCCCTTTGTCTCATGTGCCACGGGGCCCCCCTTTGCTCGGCTCCCCCAGTATTACAGTTGTGGGCTGGCACCGAGCTCTGTGGTAACCGTGGCCTTCCATCGTTTCTCACTCAGCCCAGCATCTGTTGAGTGTCACTCTGCACTGGGAGCCGAGGACGCAGGTATACCTGCAGCCAGGCTGCTTTCCAGAAATCCGGACCCCCGTGTCCAGACACCTGCTTGATGGCTCCAGCTGAATGTCCAAAAGGCAGACTTGTTCAAACCCGATCTCCTGTCTCTCCCCGCAGACCTGCCTCTCTCCCCGTGTCTTCCCTCCAAGGGCGGGTGAAGGCGGCTCCCCTTCAGCTGCTCAGGCCACCAGCCGGGGACGAAGCCCACCCCCGCTCCCCAGCTGAGCCTCCCTCACTTTGCCCCTAACTGCCCTCCCTACCGGGCCTCCTCTCCCTCTTGGTCAGCTGTTGGTGTCTCTCCTGCTAGCACCCGCCGTGGGCGCCCCTGCGGCAGAGCCGAGGCGCACGCTGTCTGCCAGGGCCCCGGAGTGAGGGTTCAGGCTGTGCCGGCCATAACGTCTGGTGCGACTGCCCACTCTTCTGGCCGGTGGCGCCGCAGACCATACGTAAACGCATGGTGGGGGGGGCTTCCCTGGTGGCGCAGTGGTTGAGAGTCCGCCTGCCGATGCAGGGGACACGGGT